TACTTAAATCTGTGGAATAAAATGCTCTTCTTACTGCAAAACTTTTTCTTTCCAACAAAGGTTTATGTAAATACTTTTTTTATCAAGGCATTTTGAATATGATTGAGTTTTATTTTATTTAAAAAGGTCTTTGAGAAAATGTACTTTACTTTTTAATAAACTGACAAAACATGAGAAAGCCTTGTTGTCATTTGTTTTTTGCAAATTGTTACTTTAAAAGAGAAGAAGAAAAAAAAAGAAACTTTCTCTGTAGACACATAGTTGCTCTTTGGTAGCTGTGAGATTCTGGACAAACTGGTTTGACAGAGATCACAAAAGAATTGTGCTTTGTGAAACAAGGAAGCAAGGTGACAGAGGTTCTTCATTGAGTTTCAGTGAATCATGTTGTTTTGACTTTAATGACTCAAAAGAAAAGAATACCCATGATACAAGCAACATGCATGGCAATTGTCAAAATGTCTACTTTATTAACGCATTAAAATAGCTTTTTGTGACTACTTTTTTATGGAGATAGACTCAGATCCATAAACTTTAAACAACTACGGTGATTAGAAAAATGAAATGTTGAATGAATATTAAAATATACAGCATTTCTTCATTTCGTCATGTTTTTTTTTTTTCAAAATAGTGTTTTAAAAAGGTAAAGTTTGTATGTAGACATTTCCCCAGGCTATGTTATTTAGCAAAACATGTGCTTGTTTGCTGCCTGACGAACTGGTAAACCATTTCTTTAGCAAACAGATGACAACACAGCAAGATGTGGGTGTTTTACAACTGTCTGGTTTCTACCAGGTCAAAGGAGAATTTCTATCATTTATAATGAGTTTAATGACATTTAAAACTTATATTTGATAAAGAGAATTAACCCTTTAAAGCCCGATCCAAGAATAAAACAAAACAGAAAATTACTTTTTTTTGGTTTGAAGTATTTATTTGGCCTTTTATCGAAATATGTAAAAAGAAAAAACAGAAATACATTTTTGATATTAATAATTTATTACTATGCGATAAGTCAAGATTATTTTTTGTGTAGTCTTCTGCCCTCTGTTATCAGGTGTATCTGATTGTGTACAAAAGGATTTTGAGCAAAGTTTTTACCATTAAATTATGCAAAAGGTGTCAGACGCAAAACAAATATGATACATGTGGCATTATAGGGTTAAATTGCAGGAAAAAATTTGTTATGCTCTTGTGTCTTCTGGGAAGAGGCTTCAAAGCATTGATGAAACAAAATTTCAATAAAATAAAAGTCTAAGTCTAATAAAGAAGGGAAAAGGGAAGGAAGAAAACATGGGAAAGAGAAGGAATGAAACAAAGAAGGAGAGCAGGAAATAATTTCTGGAGGGAGAAACTGGGGAATCGGAGAAAACAACAGAAAGGAGGCACAAGGAACAATGAAAGGACAGAAAGCAGATAGGACAAGGATAGAAGGAGGGAAGGTATTACAACAGGAAAAGAGGTAAGGAAACAAAAGAGACAGATAGAATGACATAAGGGAGAAGGAAAGGGAGGACAAAAGAAATAAATGACAATAGGAAGGAAGCAAGGAAGCAAGGAAGGGAGATAGGAAGAGAATCTGAGAGGAAATACAATTTGGAAAAAAACGATTGTTTTGAAAATTATGGAACCATTTGTAAACTGGAAAATTCTGAAAAGACATTTAGAAGTTTTCCAGGCTGTATTAGAGTCCTTATCTTGTGTTTCTGCTCTCCCTTACCAAGTGTGTACCTCTCATGATTTATCTGAATCATTTCACCATCTCTGGACTTCAGGGGTCTAGTGCTGCATTAAATCTACAATACATATTTCTGGTAAATAAAGCTGAAAACCACATTTTTCCCGTAAATATTAGTCTCATTGGCAAACTTTTAAAATGTAAGTTGTTTGTAGTTATTTCCCTCTGGGATTATTAAAGTATGTCTAATTCTGATTAGTTAACAAACAACTGAAGAGCAGCTATCAGGAGAAGCAAAACTACAAAATGTGGCAACCAAAATTGATTTTGATGTATGGTGTTTTAGGCCTCAATTTAGTATTTCAATTAAGTTTAATCCACCCAATGTGAGGAAATGGTATATCTGACCAATAATTAACAATTTCTTTGTCTTGAATCAGCCATTCCTAAGACATGGAAAGTTATCCACAGACTAAAGGATGGATACTTCAGAGAAAATATGCAAAATACGATAAGGGATAAGTGACAAAACATTTATAGTCCAAGAAGGGGAATATGTATTTGTTTTCAACAACAAGTAAGGGGCTAGATTACAACAGCAACAGTCAATATTCTACAAATTCTAATTGGCATACTATGTTCCAGTGTAATGTGCAGCTGAGTTTGATAAAAAGAAAAAAGTACAATTAAATGGCATTGAGCAAGTGATTCCAAAAAAGTAAAAACATTTCATTTCGCTTCCCATCCAGGAAAAAGTTTGAAAAAGCTTTTTGGATGGGAAGCAAAACGTCTTCAAACTTGGGAAACAAAGTCCAGTGGGTTGTTTTTTTTGTTTTTTTTAATAACTATGACCTGGATGACTGAGAATCTTTGCCAGCCATCGAGCAAGTGGTTAGTCAGTGTGGCTTGTTTGGTTTATGATCGCTAAGATTCCACCCAAAAAAATTATTTTAACCATCCCTATTCTGGCCCCAATGTCCACACAGTGAAAAAGTTCCAAACACATACAACCAAGAAAAAGCACCTAATTTAAAGATATTTTCAGTAAAGTGTTTTTCATCATTCAAATTCAGCTGCTCGACATGGTTCTGGTAAAATGCCTAAAAATGGTGGAATCACTAGACTAGTTGTAACTAAAAGTAACCATAGTTTAATCCTTAATCTGTTGTATTTCATGTAATATCCCTCTTGTTATGTTTGTTTTTCATAAACTGATATCATAAATATTTTATATACTCAAGTATTAGCTTTGCACGTTTACATGACAACATTTAGCAAGATCATATTTTTTGTACAAGAATTGTACGGAATTTCTTCTCTTAATGTTTCATCAAACCTTAGCCATGCTGCTTCCTGTATCCGTCTTTAAGTAGAAGGGTGATCTGTAGTGTGGTGGTCATCACGTTTGAATCACACTTAAAAGGTCCCAGGTTAAACACCTGGCAGAAACAGACTTCTGGGGTGAATATCCATTTGACATTAGGCATAGTCATAGATGAAGTGTTAGACTTGGCCCAAATTGTCAAGGTTTGTGACCAGTTGTGTGCTCTTACCCAAATTTTTTTAAACCTTTTCATCTCTGCCATGTGTCTTTGCCATTAGCCACCAATCATCATGGGAAGCAAAACCGTACACCTACACATAATGGATAACAAGTTGTCCTAGCATCAGCAAAAATACATCCAAATCTCAAACAGTAACCCACTGATATAGCTGTGAAATGGTTGAGGCTGAAAGTATACAAATCTTGCAGCCAATTTTATTTTTTTTGTCAAAATTCTAAATTGTTAAGTTGTTTGCAATATAGCAATCACACCAAAGTAGTTTAAATCCATAAGCTGACTAACTTTACATCAATACTATTTCAATGAGATTCCTGCTCTTTCTGCATGGAGTTTGCATGTTCTCCCTGAGCATGTGTGGGTTCTCTCTAGGTACTCCGACTTCCTCCCACAGTCCAAAAACATGACTGTTGGGTTAATTGGTTTCTCTGTCCTTGTCCTTAGGTGTAACTGTGTGTGAATGGATGTTTGTCTCTGTGTTGCCCTGCGATGAACTGGTGACCAGTCCAGGGTGGACCCCGCCTCTCGCCCATTGACTGCTGGAGATAGGCACCAGGGACCCTGCTTGGGATAAGCGTGACAGAAAATGGATGGATAAAAAGACTTATTGTGGAGGAAGGGACTAGAATATGGCCATTTTTTTTACCAACAATGCGATGAACCCCATAGAAAGCTCCACCCTTGTTTTGATGGTTCTTGATTTGAACTGTGTTGAAAAGCTCGGGTGGGATTTGTCAAAGGATAATCATGAATTGAAAACCTTAAGCCATTAGGAGGGGAATAAGATTCCTGCAGGCTGCTCTATAATAAAGATACTTGACTTGAAGGGGTTAAATACTTCTGAAACTGCAGATTTCATTACTGTACAACAAAGAGTTCAAAGAGTTGATTCATTTTATATACGATGAGCATTAATCACCAAAAATGCTTTACATAACAATACATTTTGCTCCCAATGAATACATATAAAGTACATCATACAAAAAAGTAAACTGAAATATGCTTTGATTTTTTTTTTGTTGTTGCAAATTTTGAATATTCACACTTTCAACAAACACAAAAGAACTTGTGGAACTACACCTGATATCAACCTGGGTCCAGTGGTTTGCAATTGTTGATCAGATTAGTTCTCACATCAATTTTATGAGGCCAGTTTTCCATGGCGAATCATACATAAACAAAAACACTCCATCTGTAAACATTTCCTTACCTAAATGCAATAACTCATGGTCTTTGTAGACTTGGCATTGAAAGGGAAAGGGTGCCACCTTGTGGTGCAGTATGACCTCACAAGATCTCCAACAGAATTTTAAGGAATCAACATCCTGAGTTTCAAATTTGTTGAAATTTCGAAGAAATGTGAACAAATCAATGAATTTCTTCAGATTGTATTTTTAAAGTGCATATTTTCTCTTGTTTGTTGACCCAACACTGATGCATACCTCAAGTTTAAACTGCAAAAACGATTTAGAAATAAGTAAAAATGTCTTAAATTAAGTGTATTTTCCCCTAATTTGAGTAGGTAAATGAGATAGTTTGCCAATGGAATGAGAATCTCTACTCTTAAAATAAGTTTATTATATAATATATACTTGAAATAGAACTATTCAATATTCTTTTTTTTATTTTAAGTGTAAATTGTCTTGTTCCATTGGCAAAGTGTCTCACTTAGTTCCTCAATTCAAGAAAAAAATGCACTTATTTTAAGAAAAAATGACTTATTTAGATTTTTTCCAGTGTAGGAGTGTTTTTTTTTTTTTTTTTGAATTAGATGGTTTTGAAATAACAAAACAAAAGTTGGGTAGAGGACTGAAACTGAAAACCTCGCCTAGAACCTTGAAATATGTCTGAAACCTGTTATAAAATAACTTCAAAAATTAGGATGAAAACATAATAATCTGGCAGTCTTTTAATTTTGTATACTCCGCGACAGGTGACATTTTTGTGGTAGAGTAAAGAGAAAAAAATGGTTATATGACACTCCAATGAGTATCAGGGATCATTGTGATCTTTGATGTTTATTTTTCTTCGTGTTCAAACAGAGCTGCTCTCCTCCTCTGAATGGCCTGACCTTCTTTCTTTCTCTTCTCTCTGATTGGCTCTCCGAACTCCTATAACCGACAGAGAAGTTGTAGTTTTATCTAACCCAGCAAAACATTTTTTTGTAAGTTTTTTTATTTTTATTTGAACTCACTGTAAGCAGCAGCCAGCAGCACAAGAGGGATGAAGATGATGAAGGCCAGCCTCAAAGTGCTTCCAACAAAAGTCTGCAGAGGGTACTCAGGTTCCTCCTGTATAGAAGCCTTTTGGAAAAAAGTAGGGTATAAAACAAGCAGCAGATTATTAAATAACACAAATAATATAAATACGAAAAAAATGAGAAAAATAGGCTGTATCAGAAAACATATTCCTGGTGTACAGGTAGATGATGATTCTTTTTTTCAGTGCTGGGCTAACCGACCTGTTGACCTACCTTAACCTTAGCTACCATTGGCTCTGTGCCGACAATTCCTGCGACATCACTTCCTCCTTCCTCTGTGATAAAACCTGTTGTAAAATTCATATTTGTGAAGAAATAAATAAAACAAATAATAAAAAAAAAGATTTTGAGAAGACAGTTTCATTCTGACTGAAACAGCTTCAGCTTTATTCCTTTTTTTTTTTTTGTCTGGTCAATTGCCAGCTAGATCAACCGATGACAAGGAGGAAGCTCTAAAATAAAGAGAGATCAGCAGCTGAGAAAACTTTTGATCTCACTGTCTGTTCTCTTTCACCTCATAAAATCACTTATTTCACTTGCTATAAGCGTATTTTTTGCCAACAGACATTCAGGTTTGTACTCACTTGTTACTGCATGTGATTTGTTGAACTTCTTCACTTCATAAGGACCCAGATGTTTGGAGGTCACAGAATGAGCTGCAGGGAAGCAGAAGGAGAAGTCAGCAGCACGTTAGTATAAAAAAAATCAACAGGGAACATTTAGACGCATGAGCATACGGTTGATGATCATGAGGTGGACGATAGATGTTTGGTCGTTGAAGAGTCCAGGCAACTGAACCCTGCAGTGATAGAAACCAGTATCTGAGAGCTGAGCCTTAGAAATGGAAAGGGCTGAGGTGGAAGAGGACACTGAGAACCTGCAGAGGAGAGAAGGAGCAGATTCATGATGTGGAGGACCCTGTGTTGTCCAGATACACAGTATGATTAGAATTGATGCCCATATTTTTGGGCCTATATGTTTTTTTTTGGTTGACTGAGTCTTTCTCTTCTAGGGTATTTGCCTTCACTAGTGGCCATCTTTAAAAAATACAAGATCATGTTCCAGCCAAGACTCTGGAATTAACTCAAAGAGAGGTTGATGCTTAAATTTGATCAAGCTTCAGCTATAGATATGTTTGTAAAAAACTAGAGATGTTTTTAAAACACCATTATTCATTCTGTTAATTTGAGGACATGAACTAGAGACTGTAGTTTGGGGACCTACCTGTGGGATTGTTGGAACTTCACCTGATCTCCTGCGAAGTTTATTATGGTATTGTGGCAGGTAAACAACGATGGCTTTCCCCTTCCCCAGCACACCTCCACTCCCCTCTGCCTCGCCTCCTCCAAACGACATGGCAGCTCCACCACCTGTCCAGCCACACCCAGCACTGTCTCTGTGGCAACTGCTGATACTGATACAGAAACAGAAAGATATATGAGCAGAATGTTAAGATGAATTACAATTTTCTGTGCTTTAGAATGCTACATTTGGATTCTTAGAGTACTTGACCATCTTAGGTTCTCAATGATTGTGCTCTGTTTAATAAAAAAACCCACAAAAGTTTGTTTTGTGACCTTTTTGGGTGAGTTAACAGAAACCTTTTCCTTTACTATACTACATTGGAAGCAGAAGAAATCCATTGTGTTTAACAGCAGATGTTAATAAGATAACATTTTTTTTTTTCAATTTTTATACCAATAAGCCTTGTGAAGGTAAATATATGTAAAAAATTAAGGAAATTGTCGTCATTTTTAACATCGGATAACATCTCTCACTTTAATTTGTAGCACAATAAATACGTATCATCCTAATGAAAATAGTGCAAAGTCAGTTTGGTGAAGGACAAGGCAAAGTGAAACTGAACTGAAATCCCTCAAAGTCACACTGAACAAAATTGTTAAAAAGTCCTTTATTTCTGTAATTATTTCTTGTTGAAAGTACAAAAGACGTGACTGGAAATGTACAAATTTAAAAAGTAATTATTCTGTTTTGATGCTATATTATTTGCTATGGTACTTTTGGGCTCTAGTGGGTGGCAACCCTAGTTGCCATGTTAACACAATATGCCAATACGAGTAATTGCACAAACATTGACTTCAGTTCTTGAAACAAACTGTATCCATATTATGGACTAAATATATATACAGCGGCCATGGAGAATAAATTAAATTTTCTGTCGGTTGTATTATGAAAAGGCCATTATACTCTATTTTCCAAATTTAACTACACTTATATGATGAGCCTTCTTAAATATAATAAAGGCTTTTATTTTGTAGTTAATTGTCTGTCTTATTTTAAAAGTCTTGCATTTTTTTGTCTCAAGGATACAGTATCTACAGATCCACAGGTAAAACGGAACACGTCCAGTTCTTAAACCACACTATATCCCTAATAAGTCTAATATCTACATAATTTGTATTGGAAAGGGAGGTTTTTATTTTGTAGAGTATTGTTTCCCTTATTTTGAAAGTCCTTACCATTGAGGGAAGGAAAGAAGCAAAAAAAGAAAGAGAGAGAGGAAGGAGAGGGAGAGGGAAAGTAAGAAAGAAAGAAAGAAATATAAATAAGAGGTCAATTGATGGTCCATGATGTACAAAGACCAAACATTAGATCTCAAATATATTGTCCTCATAAAATGCAGTTTTTGCAGGTGATTAATCAAATGTAGAATTTGTTTTGACTTGAGGTATCATTAGTGAGGTGTTGTTTAGTTAAAAAAAACATCTTTTTTTAAATTTTAAGATTGTCTGAGATGCAACTTTTAATCCCTTTCATCATTTTTTATCTGTTCATTCTATTTACCAAAAAAATATAATTTAGACATTTAAATTTCAATTAATTATCTTCCTCTTTCCTCTAAATTTTCCAATCTATCTGCCTCATATTAATCCATTTCTATCGGATTTCTTCTACTTTAGTGGGTCTATTTGGGCTGCTAACTTTACTTCTCTGAAATGTATCTCTTTCTCAGCCTTGCATTGCTTTACAACTGGTACTGTTAGTATTTTCAAAACTAGACTTTATAGTTTTGAGTACCTGATGATTGTGTTAAAATAATCTTGTTTCTTTAGAAGATAATGTGTCCAACACAATTATAGTACTTACCTCACGATTCATCATCTTTAGCATCTAGTTTGAGTCAAGGAATTAAGTACAATCTTAAGTATTTGAGTCAGGAAAGGTATCTAATTATTCTTGAGGTGTTTGCCAAGCTACTTTTGTATTTTTTTCTTTTTTTTTTTTGGCCTGCATTTCATACTAATATTTCTAAAAATATCTATTCTTGTTTTATTTTTGGCATTTTTATGCTGAAGTTCTTTACAGGTGAATTTGTACCAGCAATATTTCAGGTGGTTTCTGAAAGTTACAAGGTTCTTTAAATTACTCTGAAAATTATACAGAATACTGTATACTTTTTTGAACACTTAAGTACTTTTAAATGTATGGACTTTTGAATACTTAAGTATTTTGAAAATTAAGTACTTCAATACTTTAACATGAGTAGATTATTGACTAAATAACCTTTACTTGTAGTTTTGACTACGAGTATCAATACTTTTAATTAAGTACTACAGTTGAGTACTTCTTCCACCATTGGTGATAATTCGAAATGCCAATAAAAAATAATAGCAGCCACCTCAAGATCAAGCTGGATGATGCTAAATTATTGGGGTGCAGCCAATGGTTCTGGTTGCATTTATCAGGATAGAAGAAGCATAAAGTTTATATAGAAATAAAGAGTGAGGTTCAGAAGTGTAGAATAAAAATTTCCCCCAAACAATGCATGGGACATGGGATTTTAGGCTCCCTTGCTTAGCTATGGCAGGACCCAAAAAAAGACAAATAAAGAGAAATGTATCATATTGTAATCTTTAAATAGGAAAATATTCAAAAACTGAAAAAGTTTTCATCAAAATCACTTCCTGAAGGCTTCCTCTGAACCACAGCTATCATATTAAGGCTCTAGTCACTCTGTGTGTCCTCATCAATTGTTTAATCTTGTTTTTTTTAAAAAGTGCATTACATGAAAGCAGGGAATCCTTTCTCATATTTCAGCCTTTTTATGAATAAAAAGACAAAAGTTTACTGTTTCAGTTAATAATGGCATTTGCACATATTTAATAAAAATAAATCCTATTAATACCATTTACCTAAAGAGCCATCAAAGGCCCTTGACCCTAATTATGATGTTCTTTGGGTAAGGACTCACCTGAGCGAATGCAGACCGAGGCGAGGCTGTGAAGGAGCAGCAGCATCATGTTGTTATGAGTCCAGCAGAAGGACAGAGAGATGGACAAAACTTGAGGCAGACAGATGACTCAACTTTCTAACTTCCCTTTTCCATTTAGGTGGTTATATATAGATCCAGACTGCTATTACCAAATGGGCTCAGAGTCCAAGAACCCAACATATCAAAATCATCATGACACATGCTTGAGAAAATATTTACATCACCTGGTCTAAACTAGGGCTGATGGGTTTACCCCAACAAATGATACTATGGGGTGCATTCACTGTTGTAATAAAACAGGAGAGAGTTTTTGAAGAAGACCAGATAAAACCAGCAGTTGTGGTCATAAACCATTCCCTATGGTTCATTCTGTGGAAATATTTTAAAGAAGCTATCTTTATAAGCATTTTGATTAAAATTTGACTTCAAGAAATACTAATATCTGGCAATAAAATATATATGATATGCGCACAAAATACAAAAAATTCCGACAAAATACCTATTGGTGGCTACATATGATACTCACAATGGACCTGATCTTCAAAGAGTCAGGGTAAGAGTCGCTGATATGCACACAGTTT